AATAGATATAATATTATATGTATTAATATAAATATAGTATATAATATATAATATAAAATAAAATAATATAATATAAAATTTAAATAATATATAATAAGAATTAATATAAAGGATCATAAGTCATTTGTTCTCGGATTCTCTCAGGATAGCTTGCAGCTCAATATTTTTTAAAATTCTATTATCAAATCTTATTCACTATAGTTTCAAATCTTTCCTTGTTAAATTAAGTCTCTTTAACACAAGACGTTCCTGGTTAATTTCTGAGTTCTTATAAAAGATGCCAGTGTGTCTGAGGATTCTTTATTTTGGTTATCGAAGCTCTACAATTTTAAAATAGTATCATGTAATGTAATGTGTAGCGAAATATAGTTAAATTTTACACTGGCTATGGCTCGAATGCTACTGTACGCTCATTCACTGGTGGATTCAATTTTTAATTATTAAATTGTTGTTACAGATGGACAACGTTTCTATTAATGTTTGCACGAAATGCAAGGAATGTTATAAATGAAAGAATTTGTCTTTTGTTTAATTAAAAGGATTTGTCTTCTAAAGATCTAAAGTTGAAAATCTATATATTTAATCATAATATTTAGAAGAAGTAATTGCACAGCGTAAGAGATAACTGACTTGACAGCGTCTATATTTTGAATGCTAATGATTCGCCGATGATATTGCTTAAGTTGTTTAAGATATGTGATTCTAGTGATTTTAGTGATTCTGGAAGTGAAAGTGAGGTTAGAACTCAGAAGCTCAAAGTTAGACTTTCGAATTCCGATACAGTGAATAATTTCAATAGTCACGATAGTGCTTTTCGTTTCATTTCTTTTTATACATTGCATTTTGTACATTACATTATTTTCTATATAAGAAAGAAAAATTTAATGAAAGTAATGTCACGCAATTTTTAAATCTCATCCGTCAAATTTGACACATTTTTCTTACAAAATGTCATATTATAAAAGTATTTCTAACATGTGATATATATTTTCGAAGTTTTTGACAATAAAATACCTGGTCGGTGTTGCAAATAATATCTATTTGTTTTCAAATCCCTTGACAGGCAATTACGAAATTTCGAATTATTTAATTAGATATTTAATTATCTAATTATTTTTTTTGTAACGTTACATCACAATTGTATTATTCAATATAGTACACCACTTTTTCGAAGATGCGTATAGGGTATTTATATAGGGTATTTAGTTTTGAAACATAATTGCAGCAAGCCCGAAACAAATAATCACGACGTTAGATAAAACTAGAGGATCATGACATGAAAGTAATTTATACGTGAAACTATAATAGAAAGTAAATGCATAAATATCTCTGCGAATCTTACACGCGATTGAATATAGAAATACTGTATTTATCATCGAGAAAAAGAGAAATTATTAATTTGATATTTATCCATCAATTTGTTCCTTTTAAGTTGGAAAAGTGAAAGCTTAATTTACCTTAATTATTTTAATTATTACATATCCATGTAGTTTCACGTAAGCAGTAAAAATGTAGTTAAAAAATTTATACATATTTAATGGCCTATTTGCGTATTTACATTTGCAAAAAAAGCATGAATATTTTTTTGCATAAATTATTCGCAGTTTTGCATACGTTTATCACGAATGCATAAAAACTTGGTTACTTACCGGCCTGAAGATTGATCATACGATAAACTAGGAGACGATGATGCGATATCCCGCAAACTATCTTTCTTCCCTCCGTGCTCCTTGTAATCTCTAAACACGTTTTTTTTTCCCCTTTATTTTTACTGCTATTCCTCTTTATTATTTTTTATTAGTTTCTATAATCGCAATATAGTGAAAATAAGCGACAAAATAATACCTGAAGCATCTTTTGCAACGGGTCGGCCATCGCACTTGCGGATGGAAACCAAGGGGACAGAGAGGATCTCCTTTCTTCGAGGAATACATGTGGTGCATTCTACACATAAAAATAGAATATACGAATCGATATACGCAAATGTAATGCAACACATTTTCTTTCGAACGTGTCGTTAAATGGTAATAGGTTCCTGTTATACATGTATTACTTTTGCGTGTCATACTTCGCAGAATACATAAGTATCGCGTATGTCACGTGCACACATAAATAAAATCGACGTTTAGCCACGGTGTCACTTCATGTAGTGGAACATCTTGACATGATGGACGCATGCTCGTTCGATGAAACAAATACATTCGTTTATTTAGGAAGACGTCGTAGTTAGTGGCGTTAGAAACGATTTGAAGTTTTTCAATCTGATCTTTGAAATATTTAATCTCGAGTCTAGTGGCAATAGATGTTTATTAGATTCATTATTATGCGGCATAATATTTATGTATTAGAACATTTATATATTAATGCTTTCAAGTATTATTAATTATATTTAGCTGTACCGTAGACGATAAAAGTTTGATGCCTTGAAAATTAAATGTAGAATTTATTTAAAAATAAGTATTTATTTATAAATGTAGAATTTATTTATAAATAAGAATTTATTTAAAAATAAAAAAAAAGAATTTACTTAAATATATAAACACTCTTTGTAATTATCGTAAATCTGTCTTTAAACTTTTTTTAAATCTTGAAACTTGTTGACTCTTGGAACTAGGATATAAGATTGTGCAAGATATGTGCTATATCACGATTTTCCAATGTGATTTGACAAAGAAATATTTCCAACAAAATTTATTATCTATTGTTTTTTTCAAGATTGAAATCTTTCTTTTATAACGGCACCATAAAACTTAAGATAGGATTTTCCTTGGCCGATTTATTCAATTTTGAATGAAAAGCTGGAGGAAGTTGTACAATTAGATTTGTATCTCACGCGTATATATTCAGTGTGTATTTGCGAGTACGATTGTGTTAAAATTGGGTTAAAACCACGTGCACGTTCAGTTTTGTACGTTCAGTTTTGCTCTCCGCTGTATAACATAATATCCATACGCACGAAGTTTATCCATACGTAAAAGTTTAAAGTTCTAAAGTGCATCATGAAATCACAGCAGTTCATTATAAATTATGTAAACAACCGATGAATCTAAACTTTGACACCATACTTTTTATAAATAAATACAAATTATTAGTTTCAAAATAACGTATGACACACACACACACACACACACACACACACACACACACACACACACACA